TGCAGGGGTGTGACATATCCTAGCAAAATGAATTTCTATAATTTCTTAAAAGGTATCACGCGCATGTTTCGCGCAACTGAAGAGTACGTAGTTACTAATCATATAGCATGGGATATAAGATATATTTACGTATTGATTTTCTATCTAATTTCTATCTAATTCTATCTAATTGGAGAATTAAACTACAGCAACTACTCGCAATTTTTAAATTAAACGTGTAAAGTATACATAGCAAAAAAAAAGGAATTATAAAATCACCATTGAAAAATCTAAAAGAAAATCTCAAATTAAATTTTTAAGCCACAATAAAGAGAACAAAAAAACATAAATTTTTCAACATTCCATATAGACATTTAAAAAAATATACATTAATAAATCAGTTGTTATTAACAATTTTTAAGAATCGTTAATCTGTTTAAAGTTTAAATATTATGTCGATGATTACAATTTTATTAATTAAATGTACATAAGTTAGCATATTACAATATTTAAGACAAATGTACCAGTTAGTGGACATGACTCAACTTTTAGATAAATTAAAAAAAATTTTTAATATTATGATGCGAAATGATTCCAAATAAATTTGTTTTATTAAATTTTTACAAACATCAAATTTTTTAAAATCGTACATCATTAAAAGCATTAAAAATTTTTGTCATCCATTTTGTTTTATCCAAGAATTGGATCACGTACACGAATTGGTCATTAACTAGTACATTTCCTATTATTACATTAAGCACTGCGCTTTACAAAAGGATCGAAGAGCACCATGGTTACTTTATGACTAACATACGACAGAGTAATGTCTCACTCATCGTGCTAGAAATTGGTTGTAGTATTATACAGAATTTTGTCACGTACAAATAAAGAAAAGTTTCAATTCAAATATTTATAGTGAAATAATAAACTCAAACTGAATTTGAAAAAAGAATCCTGCAATCACTCGCGTACAATTTAATATCGAAGTAAGTAAATGATGTCACAAATCATTTTAGGCTGATACTTATACAAATTATTAAAATATGGCATTTTGCAGATCATCTTTAGTTTTGTTGTTGATATTTTAGAAACAAATAATAGGCAAAATGCAAAAAAAATGGTGGCTATTCTACGCTACGGATTTTCAAACATTGATGTATCCATGTTTCACTTTTTGTCGTATTCTTGGATTATTCCCGTACAAGATTAATAATTTGACTTTTGAAACTTCAAAACCACGTTATATCTTATCAATTATTATTACTTGCATTTTATGCGTTCTCGACTTAATACTCTTGAAAAGTTTTACAAAAATGGACTTTGAGGGAGCAACTACTTCTTTTAGGAATTACTCTTTCCATATATTGATCAGTTTTTTAACAATCGTCACACTCATCATGAGCAATCCGCGAATGCGCTTACTTCAGACTATAATGGATGTTTCTTCGAGATTATCTCTGAAGTCGTACCAAAAATTATCTATATTAATCCACACTAAAGATATCTTTGGTTCTTTCTACATTATCGGCCTAATTTTTACATGTTTCTATTATATAAACTTCGATATTATAAACAAGATATTTTCAATGTATGCACATCAATTGATATTTCAGTTGGATATGTTGTACATGAACTGCGTTTGTGTATTAAAAATCTGTTTCGAGAATATTAATAACAATCTTCAACACATGCAAGAACTTATAACAAATAGTAAACCATATATCCCTACGTTTTCTTATTATAAACAAAGAAATCCTTTCTTGATAACAAAGCTTAAGATTCTGAAAAAACAATATATGATGATCAGCAACACAGTACAGAAATTGAACACGATTTTTAATGTACAACTACTTATTTCGATGATTATAACTTTTTGTCAAATCAATCTAGATCTGTATATCTATCTAATTAAGTGGCATGATGGATTAGTTATCAATTTGAATGGACAAGCTGGTAAACTGTTCTTATCAATTACAATTTTTTATATAATAAAATTGGTATTAATTGTGTGGGCCTGCGAGACTGGCAAGAATCAGGCTCAAGAGATCCGCATTACAATTCACGATGTCCTTAACAAAGCCAAAGATAAGCAAATCAAAAATGAGGTAGTAAAATGGAATTTCATGTATATATTTTTCTTATATTTTACTTCTATATATTAAATTCACTTAAGTATAGAAACGTTTATCGTCGTCAAATCTTGTATTTAATAATTTTGTCTAATATTACAGCTGCAGTCCTTCTCTTTACAAATATTACATTGCAAAAACATATTTTCCGCCAAAGGTTTCAATATGGATGCAATGTTTCTCACTACAGTGAGTAATGGATTATTTACTTTAATTAATGAAATGTGTCTTGTATAATTATTTTATTGTATAATTATTTTATTGTGCTTTTAGATGGTGGGTACCATTACCACATATATATTAATTTTTCTGCAATTCATGATTACGTCACATTCCTGCGATAAAAAATCTACAATCAATATTACGTAAATAATGTAACTCCATAAAAGAAAATAAATAAAACAAAAATTTTTTTCCATATATAAAATTTTATGTACAAATTAAAATAATAATGATTAGCTTTTTCAAAGACACAATGTAATCGGTTTATTATTAGTAACATTTGTGTCTAACAACATATATTCTATTTTGTCACTCTTCAAATATGATAGAACTTTGAAATTAATTTTTGTTCATAAATTGTATCACATTTATTAATTTCGTCAGCTAAAGAATATATTAATTTGTTCTAATCTAAATAATAATATCAATTCTAATCAATTTCGTATAATAAATCTGTATTAATATAAAATTCAATTCATTAATGAGATCTTCAATTCATTAATTGAAACCTTTTTGTCATCACAGCGATATCAAAATTTCTCAGAATACGCGCAATAAAATTTAGTAGTAACTTCGGTGTATAATATTATTTAATAATTAAAAAGATTTGCTTTATAGTATATTTTTGTAATTATATGTATAAACTTTTAAATTAGTTTTGAAAAATAAATAAACTATTGATCAAATTAAATGAATGTCTCAAACATTTTTCAAACATTAGAACTTACGGTGTGACATACACACGTGCGCAAGTAAGTACTTCAAATTAAGACTTAAATTTTCGTCGTGATAAAAATAACAGATATTTCTTAAACATACATTTTATATAATGAAAATGTACAATACCGAACCAGAAAATTGTAATTAACTGATTTGTAAGAATCATTAATCTGTAGTAATCTTTAATTAATCTTTCAAGTATCTACTATGTATTCGACACCTGTTATTTTGAGAAAATGTTAATAATGTATTATAAGCACGTTAAAGAAATTACGTATGATTACATTAAAAAGTGTGTTTTATAGATCGAAGTATACTATGGTTACTTGACAACTAACATATAATAAAGTACAGTCACTCTTCGTCGTAATAATTCTCGTAGTATCAAATAATCACTTGTGAAGTGTAGATCAGAAAAATAGATTATTCCGACTGAGACATTTGTAGTGAAAACTTAAAAATTTAAAAAAGGATCCTATATAAGCTCTCGCTTGTATTAATAATAAAAGTGAGTAGATAAATGATTAATAATCTTTAAGCTCTATATACATATATATAAAATACAGACATTTATTGTTTACTCACACACAGCATTTGACTAACCATATTCAGTACGTCATTAAAATTCCAGAAACAGAGAAACAAAATGCGAAAGATATGGTCACTATTTAACGCAACAGACTTTAAAACTTTGATGTATCCTTGTTTCATCTTTTGTCGCATTCTTGGATTATGTCCGTACAAGATTAACAATTCGACTTTTGAGACTTCAAAACCACATTATATCTTATCAATTACTTGTTTTTTATGCGTTTTCTATTTAATATTCTCGAAATACAACAAAATTTTTACTTTTTCAAAAATAAACTTTGAAACTACAATCATATCTATTGAAGCTTATGGCTTCTACATATTAATTGCTTTTTTAAGAATTGTTACATTTGTTTTGAGCAATCCGCGAATGCGCTTGCTTCAGACTTTAATGAACGTCTCTTCGAGATTGTCTCCGAAGTCATATCAAAAGTTATCCAGATTAATCCACACCAAGGATATCTTCGGTTTATTCTACGTTTTCAGTTTAATTTCTATATATTTCTACAAATTGCGCATTGATATCTTGAATATAATGCTTTCAACGTATGCAGTTCTGTCAATATTTCAAATGGATATGCTATACATAAACTGTGTTTGTGTATTAAAAGCCTGTTTCAAGGATATTAATAACAGTCTTCAACAAATGCAAGAACTCATAGTAAATAGTGGACTATGTGTTCCTATGTTTTATTACAAACTAAGGAATCCATTTTTGATAATGAAGCTTAAGATTCTCGAGAAACAACATATGATGATCAGCAATACAGTACAGATGCTAAATACGATCTTCAGTGCGCAACTACTTACTTCGATGATTATAACTTTTTGTGAAATCAGTCTAAATCTATATATCTATCTAGTCAAATGGCATAATGGGTTGGTCATCAATTTGAATGGACAAATTGATGAGTTGATCCTATTAGCTATGATTTATTACATACTGAAATTGGCATTAATTGTGTGGGCGTGCGAGACTTGCAAGAATCAAGCTCAAGAGATTCGCACTACAATTCACGACGTTCTTAACAGCACCAAAGATAAACATATCAAAGATGAGGTAATAAAAAAAAAATTTAATGTATATATTTTTCTGATAACATTTCATACATTAAATTTATTTGAGTATAGTTACGTTTATCAATCTTGCATGTATTTAATAATTTTGCGATTTAATATATTACAGCTGCAGTCCTTTTCCATGCAAATGTTACATTGCAAAAATATATTTTCCACCAAAAGTCTCAATATAGACGCAACATTTCTCGCTACAGTGAGTAATCAATCGTTTGTTTTATTTAATGAAATGTATAACTATTTTATTTTGCTTTTAGATGATGGGTACCATTACCACATATACGTTAATTTTCCTACAATTCTTGATTATATCTCATTCTTGCGATGAAAATTCTACAATCAATATTACATGAATAATGTATTCCACATAAAAGAAAATAAATAAAAAAAAATTTTATTTAATGGGAAAATTTTTCCCATATATATCTACAATTTTATATACTAATTATAATAATCCGATTAAATTTTTCAAAGTCGTAATGTAATTGATTCATTATTATTACATTATCATTTGACAACATACTCTTTCATTTTATTAACCATGAAGTACGATAGGACAAGAACTTTGAAATTAATTTTTGTCCATAAATTATATCACATCTATTAATTTCAGTTAAAAATATATTAATTTGTTCTAATTTAAATAATA